GCCAGCTTAGCTTGTGGCAATGCGGAGGGGAGAAGAGGTGGGGAAGGGGGGGAATGGGGGGTGTGGCGCTAGAGATTTGGGGACAGGCCCTAATTCCACCCCGTTCGGGCCAGTTGGAGCGGGGGAGGGCAAGGAGACAATGGATTTTCGCGCCCGAGCGATCGACAAGCTTTGAGCCTCGCAGTCCGGCCAGTTGAGCGAGCAGCTCGCTACGCCGAACAAGCAGCTGTTGCGGATCGCAGCGACGAAGCGTCGTTGTTCTTTGGATAGCGTCGATCCACGCCAACGGACTCCACTCGTCCTCTCCGTAGGCGTCATACGCTGCCGGTCCCATCGGCTGTCGCGGAGAAGCTATTTTAAACTATGAAACTATTTTTATGTTACCAGCTAAGGCCCACTGAGCGATTTAGCTATTTTTCAGATGCAACCTGGCCACAGAGATAGCTCAACGAAGTGGCTTATCACGTGGAAATGTATAGCACGCCGAATAGTCTAAACGCCCGTTGATTCTAAATGTGGAGGGACAAAACCAGAGGAAAAATCCACATTACGATGGAGAGAACGTGCAAACTCCATATACACAGCAGGCGTCAGGGTCGGGATCGAACCCATGCCCTCCTGCATACCAGGCGAGACCGATAACATCTCACCACCGCGGCGCCCAACACATTATTCTTTATTAGGCGCCATTCCGAAGAGAGACGAAATGCATGCAAATGAAGAACCGGGGAAAAACGGCCCAGAGGAAGAAAAAAAAAGCAAACGTGAAAAAAAAGAGAATAATAAAAAAAATTATATAATACAAATCACCCGAGCCAGCAAGGTTCCCTCTGCTTGACAGCTTGTGCAGAAAGAAAACGTTGACTGTGGCTAGGTCACGTGACAGGGCGCCTGTGCCAGAAGAGACACGCGCTTGGGTAGCCCCTCTCTGTGGACGGCCGTGGGAAGATGCAACCTGTGCAGGTTATCTACACTTATGCAGGCACCTTCACTCACGAATACAATTTTGAGTTTCCTAGCAATCCTCGTTCGGATCTCCGAGTCTTGAGAGATGTCTGCAGAATCCCCTCGCGCTGCAAATAAACGAGATCCCACGGTGAGACGAGAAACGCGGTGGCGGTTTTGGCGGTCGTTCATAATAAAGGTTTTTGGGTTAGATGGCGGTCATGTAAGGGTGTTTCAATTGACTTTGAATCTTTTTCCGATAACGAATGCGTGCCCTAAAGTGCACGACAATAGAAACCAGTGAGAAAATATAAAAGGCAAGCGCTATTCTTTCCCCCCGATAGCACCACAAATGGTTTCGCAGAAATTTGAGCTAAATCTACCACCGTGACAGTATATATTTGTCAATCTCGTAAGTGCACAGATGTCAAAACATGCACGAGTTTTTTTTTTTTAAGTCAGGAGAGATGTGTTCCACGAATCACTCATTTGATCATTCATTCGTTAGATATTGACTGGGATAGTTTTTCTTGCAGACGGGACATACATTATTCACTCACTTTTTTGTTTACACGTTTAGTTTTTGTAACGTTGTTACTCATTTACCCACCCCCGCCGGCCCGACCTCCCTCCCAAAACATACGTGGGTTTATTTGTCGCTCGGATGGGCCACAACTAAAGTGTGCTCTCGCCGCACGCTGCTGTCGACGCAATAGCGGGAATGCATTGGAACGATCAAGGTGCCACACTGCATGCCCCGTGAGAGTGAGCAGCGTGCGTGCGTGCGTGGTTGACGGCAGCAGTGTGTGCGTGGCGAGATGTTGACTACCTCGCCTGGTGTACAGGTGGCTCGTGGGTTCGATCCCGACCCTGGCGCCTGCTGTATATTTGGAGTTTGCGTGTTCTCCTCGTGGTCGCGTGGTTTTTTCTCTGGGTCCTCCGGTTGTTCGCTTCACAATTAGAACCAACATCGCGCGTTTAGAGTATCTGGCTGCTGAAACCCACTTCATTGAGCTATCATTTGCCGCCACGTCGCTTCTGAAAAGGAGCTATATAGCTGAGCGGGCCTTACCTGCTAAAATAAGAAATAGTAAGTAAATAGTAGTAGTGTGGCGTAGTGGTCAACACACTGCACTATGAGCCCAGCAACAACCCGAGTTCAATTCCCAGCCATGGCTAACATCACGAGTTTGGGGTTCTGTGTGAGTTTAGCAAGCCTGCCACACCCCCAATGCCACCACTTATAATCCTATTGTGCTGCTAGGGCTTTGCGTCAAACGAGACAGAGTATATACACGAACAAACACCACCACGCTAACGCATAGTCTCTGTATGATAATCGGTTTGTTTGTCTGTCAGTTACGCTGGCCGGGAGGCGGGAGGGGGTATAACGTCACACCACGCTGGTGAGGTGTAGGGGAGGGGCTGATGACCTCAGAGACACTGGGCTGCTGGGGACAGGAGCACCAACGTCACGCAAGATTGGGGTGATGTGAGGAGGAGAGGGGGCGGGGGGCGGTTGATGACGCCACGGGAAGTAGAAGGTAGGTGAGGAGACGGGAGGAGTGATGACGTCGCGTGACACTGGTGGGTGCAGCATGGGGGTGATGACGTCACACGACACGGGTGAGGCGGACGACAGGGAGTGACGTCAAGAGACGCGGGAGTGGTGAAAGGGGGCGGGTTATGATGTCATAACCCGCGCTTCTCTCCTATAGGAGAGGGAATGATGTTTCTTGTTCATGTTTTTGTTTGTTGCGGTTGCACCCGATTCAAGAGCCGAATGGCGCACAGGGCTATACCAAATAAATTAAACTGAAACTGAATGTTAAGCCGTACATATTCATCATCCTTTTCACACGCAAGTTCTACGGGTTCCTGCTCGTGGATAATTACGTGCACCGATTAAAAACTTTCTCAGGGCCTGAAACAGGTCATGGGGTACCGCGCCGTGACCCTTTGAGCAAGGAGACGATGATATTGTTGGCCCCGTGCTTTGCCGACAAAATCTCGACTCACGATTTAAATATAAATTCCACGTGTGTGTGTGTGTGCACGTGCGTGTGTTCTTCATCCATGTTAGAATACCCTAAGCGGGTGCTTTAAAGTGAGACTCGTGTCGATCCCCGAGCTCCCTCAAGTGAATATTGCATTCGTTTCTCGACAACATGGTGCGCGAAGATTTCACGCATTTGGAGAGTTCCGTTGGCATTCGACATCTTTTGACCCCGACTACCACACTATGCCAGTAAACCCTATCCTACGAGCACTGCCGATGGAGAAACATCACAAGATGAATCGAAATTGACGGGCAATAAACAACGAATTGAGTACAAATTATAAGTTATTTACAACAGATTTAAACTGTTAAAAAGCGAGCACTCCTTGCAGGTTGCCTCGTGACGTATCTCTCATTGCTCGCAGAATTTTTAATAAGTTGCCTAAAGTTTTCCTCTGAGTTTTGAACATTGGCACTGAATCATAAGCAGGCCTAAAGTAGGTCAGTTCAGTTAAGGCGCCACTGCTACCATCTCCAAAATACACTCGTCATGATATTTTATCCCGAGTAATCAAAATACTATTTTCTTAATATAATCAAACGTAGCTGCGAGCCATTTACAAAATCATCCGTGGACTTGCCCCCACTCATCTCACTCTACTCCACGCACTCTCCTACCTCTCCCCCTCTTTAATTCACTCTGCTCGCTTTCACGCAAACTCCACGCTCGAGCAAACCCACGGCCTTCCGACAAAAAATCCCCAAGCGACTGGCGGTGTCGCTCCTTCTCTGCTGCTACCCCCCACCAGTTTGGAATCCCTCCTCCCCCCAGCCGTCCGTGCTGCGGACTCCCTACGCTTGCTCCTGTTCAAGCTCAGACTCAGGGGGCACTCCTCATCTCCCCTCCTGTCTATGACAATTTAAAAACGTTAAATTCCTCCCTCGCATCCCCGCGATGCGCCACTTTATCGCACGGCATCTTGCGATGTCGTTGCGTTTAAAAGTTGTTTTAAATTAAATAAGAAAAATCACTGTTTTGAGTAAATACGGGGGGGGGGGGCGGGGGAGGGGGAGGGGGGGGGCAAGCACACTGAGAAAACCTGAAAAATGCCGATAACGTCCGGGATGGTTCCTGTTGTTTACCGTCATAATAATACCAGAGGGCCAGGATTGCGTACAACGTCCACGACAGGACGGGGCTCTTCTCTGCACCGGTGGCTCCGAGCCAGCGGTGGGAATGCTGGCGCGGCGAGCGCCGGCCGGTATACCTACGTACGTTGAACTTCTTTCGCGCCATACGTTACCGACCGTACTCATCGGAGGTGGGACGGCACGCGCAGGGCAAGTGTGAGGTCGCGAAACGCAGTACGAGCTCCCGACTTCTGAAACGTGGAACGTGTTTCTCGTTTTTTTTAAAAAGTGGAACATTTTCTATTGCTGGTTTTTTTAAAAAAATTGTATTTAAGGCTTACTAATTGGATTTTTTTCTGGATCTTCAGCTTAAGCAGCAATCGCTGTTATTCGTTGTCACATTTAAAGGGTTGACAGCCCTTTAGTTACAGAACCTACCGGAAAGCCAGGCACATACAGAAAATAATTTAACAAGACCCAAAATACGGTGTTAGCTGCTGCTGCTGCTGCTTTGCTAGGTGGTGCACAAAAAAAAACCTCAGAAACTCAACACATTCATCAGTAACACTGCCAGAGGAAACATTATGTGACAGGTGATATTTCGTACAATTGTCCTGCTGCTATGAAGAAGGAACATTGCCTGAAATGTTTTAGTTTCCTCTGTAAAGAGAAATAATTATGAATAGGCGATTTTCACCGTGACGGCAGGAAACACACCGCCTACTCAGATAAGGTCACGGGATTCTTTAACTTGCACTGTGGTTAACGCACCTGCAGTATCAACCAGAGGCAGTTTATTCCAAAGTCTCATTGCATCACAGGCAAAATGCAAATTTACCCTTCGCGAGGCAACACCTGCGGAACTGCCAACCGGAGTCGCGAACATATGCAATTCACAGAAGCAAGTGAAATAGCGCTGGCTCACCCAATCAGAAGCAGCACTCCACACACGACGACAAAGCCAATGGTGTACTTGAAGGCAGTGCAGAGCCGCTGTAACGCAAGCACACACAAACACGAGTCACGGTGCCGTCACTGCCGTAACCGTCAAGGGGGAACACAGCCGGGAGAGGTCACACACGAAGAAAGATGGAACACACACCGAGAACTCGCATCAAGCTGAAAAGTTAACGATGCCGATTTCATTCACTTTCGCAGCGTTCCATTACAAAGCGCTGAGAATTGGACAGTGGCCGCCGGTGGTGAACCGCAGGCAAGCCGCTGCAGAGAGCGAGGGGAGCGAGGCGCCGGATGTTGCCAAACGTTACACATTCGGCAGCGCGGGTGGCAACGGATAGCACCGCTCGAGGCAAAGGGCGGTTTATTATTCGCGGGAAAATGCTCCGTGTACAGCAATTAGTACGGCCGATTAGAGTGGCAATTTCACACGAATTAAAACTTGCATTCTTCAAAGCGAGATCTGCCCCAAGTGCATTGGCAACAGGTTTGTTCATATTATTTGATCGTTTTGTATTTGGCTTAAACGAATTACAGGGTGTGTCGTAAGAACGTGTACAAAGGCATACGTCAGTCACACAAATGCAAAATGAAGCAATAATCCTTTGATGATTGCAGCTTTAACATCAATTTGCATTTGAATTAAACATCGCCACGTAGTTATCTGCAAATCTAGATTTTCCAATTTATAGCATTTATCAATGAATCATTTTATAAAAGTATAAATGCAGAAATAAAATTAAAAATCCATAATACAGGTTTTTTTGCGTTAAATCGCGTAAATATATAAATGTGTCGTTAAACCCGCCACCACCCGACACAGCCAATTAGTAATGTTTGTTGGAGAGCCAAGTCAAACATTTTAAACATTGTGGCTTGGCTCTCCAACACACCGGTGTTCTGTTAACGTGACAAACCTTACTAGTTGGCCGTGTCAGGTGGTGGCGGGTTTAACGACACAACATTTATATATTTACACGATCCAACCCCAAAAAACCTGTATTATGGATGACATTGGTCGCGATAGCCAACGTGTATCAAAAAACACCTGAATTCTGTTACTCTCAAACCTATTATATTTGCAGTGAAGCTATCTACACTCAAATATATTCACGTGGCTTTCAAGTCAATTAATTAAAAAAGGTTAACATTTGATTTTCTCTCCCCAAGGGACCCAAAACATTTAACACGTCCCAGCTTGTCAGTGACAAAAAAATGGTTAAGCCTATTCCGGTGGGAAACTGTATCAGGAAAGGCCTGATTAATTGATCCGCTTAATTAAACGGTGACAATGTTTTACCCATCCATATCGACTGCCTAAACGATGCGAATGAAAGGAATTGTAATGAATCTTCAGACAGCTTTTAAATGGGCAATGAGAAAAATGGAGTGCTCATTTGAAGTTACATTTCAAGCCAAAAGTGTTTGTAAGGATAATAAAGCCTTAGACTGCGACGTCATTAGAAATGTGAACAGTTGATTTCAAGAAAACAACTAAAGAATACCAATGATTTTTAATAACCTGAAACATAACAAAACATTACGTTGTTTTGCGCATCACAGAAAAGCAAAAAGCACGCATAAAAAACCATAAACGTTTGTCAAACCTTTGAACATGTCTTAACAAGGCACTCATGTATTCATAGATGAACACACACAAAGATAAAAATAGTGGCATTAAGGATAACCGAGAGAATCGGTAATACTACACAGCCGCTAACAGATTACTACAGACTTCCTCTCAGGTGTGGTTCACTGCCATTAAGTGTCCTATCAATCATTCCAAAATCACTGTCATCAATCACATTATCCTGTGGCTCTCACACTGGACCTGTCACAGCCAAGCCAGGGTCAGGGGGCCAGGCCATTTGTAGCACAGACATGCAAAAAAGGACCGTGTCCAAGGGCTAAATGTCATTATTACAACACCAGCCATTTATGCATTGGAAGATGACACTGCCATTAAAAATGGGAAACACTTGGGGCCAGAATCACGCGTTGGTGAATATTAATTTTCGTCCGAATTCTGCCAAAAAAGTGCCGATGTCTCTGCTGCCGGCAGAAGTGGTGTTTAAAAGGCTGCTGTGTTTTGGCCGTTTGTTAAATGTGAATCTTACCCTTTGCCTTCAACACTAAATTTAAAAGTGCCAGTCTACATTGGTAACCCAAGGCGAGTAGTGTAAACAACTATAGCGTGGCCAATCCGTCCATACAATAACTCAGAATCTGAATAAGTATTTAAATTGGAGAAATCCGATGAGCTATGAAGCTCTTTTTCGCACGATGGCACCGATTTTTATCCAGCTCGGGGTAACTTGTGGGCAAATTGACCCGAACGCTGAAGCCACAGTGCCACCACCCGGCTGGCTGGCTCATGCGTGCATTTATGTTTACATCGCCCCCCTCGCAAGCCAAGTCTCACCGAGCGTGTAGAATCAAATTCTTCCAGGCCCTTTTCTTCGTAATAGAAGTAGACAAATGGAATCCAAAAGAAAACGAAGAGGAGAACGAGGGAATACAGCGCTGTGAAAATAAGACGGCACACACAAACAAACACACAAACCTTGTTAGGCCTTTACCACTGCTGCATCAGCACTCGTTTGCTGTTGCTGTTAGCGTGTGGGTATTATTTTTTTTTTACTTTAAATGCCTTTACTACAGTCAATTGAATTTAAAACTGTGCCCACAAAAGACCACAGGGTCAGCAGTAGTTTTAGGCCAAGGGGCCTAATTAGAGCCATTAGCCAACACAATACATTGAACGAAATTGCACAGAAATTGCACAGCAATTTCTGTGCATTATAACGTGATTGTTTCAGCTGCAGAGTAAAACACCATTCTACTCGTTATGAAACGTTAATATTTAGGTTCTTGATTGCTTCATGCAAAATGCAACACCAGTGTGAAGGAAACATTTGCTTACGCACAAATCCCTCTGCCAAAGTGCTCTGAGCCAGCACCAGAGACCTGGGTTTGAACCCTAATGCACCTGATACTGAGACAGGTTCTCAATTGTAGTGACTCTCAGGATCTCAATGTGTTCGCATAAGACCACACAAACAAAACAACCGTGACATTCCATTTGTGTGCTTAACTTAGCATAGCTGAACTGTGAGGCCTTATTTGGCAAATGTACGGTGAATGAGCCACTATAATCGAAACAGATTAGATCTCAATCTATCGCAAGGCTTCATAAACTCCAGTCCTTAAGCCCAGCAACTATCTTGCCTGTTCGTGTTTGCCAGCCGTCTCAATTCAGATGCAAAATAAGTTGTTAGAAATTGAACATGTCACTTGACTGGAAAATGTTACTACGGTGGGCTATTTAGCCTACGAGTTTGGGAAGCCACATTAAAACTGTTGAGTAAGATAGACCCTTAATTGTTGTCTGGGCCATTCCTCAGGTTGGTCATTACACACAGTGACAAGCAGCTTGAGTTGCAATCGAGAGATGACATTTTAAAAATTATATTTCTCTATACATGGGGGCAGCACTATCGGTGCAGACTGAATTGCAAATTAAATAAACCTCTAACAGAAACATTCTCCTCGTATTATTCCAAATCGTTTGGTTGGTACTCTGCGCCAGAGCGCTCAACTAAGAACGTGAAGGCGACGAGTTGAAATCCTGGTCAAGGGATGACTAAGTAAATCATTTTTCTGGGTTTTATTCCATGAATTTTCACTTTTGCAGCAAGTGTGCAGTGGTTACCCTTTGATGATACTGGGCAACTGCCCGCACGGGGTGCAGAATTTCCACGACTCGGTTTAGCATCACTAAAAGCATCGGCGAGCACGGCCCAAAGCTCGTTTGAGCGTGCAGACCACCCCTGCCCATTTCTTTTTAATGAAAATATTAATCACGCGCATTTTTTTGCTCGGTGAGTTTACCTCAAGTTGAAACGGTCCTGTATTGGGTAAGCACTGTGACGTGGCACAGCTGGCAAAGCAAACACGTTCATTATCGAGCCCATTTCTCCTGCGTGCAATGCCGGAGTGGCGCTGGCATATCCTCGGGTTATTAAAAACAGAAAGAGGGCAATCGCAAGGGCATCACTTTAATTCAAGAAGCAGCATCTATCAATTTCTGGCGAAGCCATCACGTCAGAAGGTGTGACATTTCTCCGAGAGGATATACGCTTGAGCTTTCATTTTTTTGCCTGGAGGAATAGCAGAAGCGATGCCAAATTTTGCAAAACCACAGAGGGGCTTGCAATTTGGCATCGGTTAATAATATTAACGCACGGTGACGGAGCGTGAAAGTTGGGCATATAAGAACGCGTCAATTGTCATGCTAATAACGCAGGTATCGAATTTGCGCGTGTAAGAATCAATTAAATAAGATTGATGAAAATGACACGTGAAGTACATCCTCATATTACATGTAGGCTAATGAAGCAAACAAATGTGTTTAGAGACAGAGAAGTTGAGATACACAAACAAGACGGTAAAAAAAAAAAATATTCCTGCGGACGATACACGATCCCCTCGAATCACGACAAACTCAGTGAATCGCTGGGAATGCGGCCCTTTACTTCTCTGGTAGGATCGCTGGGAATGCGGCCCTTTACTTCTCTGGTAGGATCGCTGGGAATGCGGCCCTTTACTTCTCTGGTAGGATCGCTGGGAATGCGGCCCTTTACTTCTCTGGTAGGATCGCTGGGAATGCGGCCCTTTACTTCTCTGGTAGGATCGCTGGGAATGCGGCCCTTTACTTCTCTGGTAGGATCGCTGGGAATGCGGCCCTTTACTTCTCTGGTAGGAAAAATGACGCTCTGGACATGCTCATGCATCCCTTGGTGTTCCTGCAAGGGTAACGTGGGACTTCAACCACTGCCTCAGTCAGGCTCACCGACAGAAATGATCACTTTTGAACCAAGGTGAATTTAAGCACAGGGACATTCGATTGTGAAATCATCTGTTGTAAACAAAGACAAAAGATCCCCCCACGTATAGCCTTAACAGACTGTTGGAGCAAATGCTGTTAGCGAGCAGCACCTATGAAGGTAGGCACCGCGCATGAGGGGGTGGGTGGCCAGCACCACGCACAGCCGCTTTTTGTTTCCCGAGTGGCGATGTTCACACACCGCACGAGGTACTCATTTGAGGCCGAGTCGACCTAGGGGAGGCCCAGGAGGGGTTCAGATAATCGTCACCGGTGTTGGCCGTGAGCAGGAACCGACCTCGGGTCGCCGGGTTCGTAGCGCAGTGCGCTAAACGACGAAACCACCGCTCCCCACTATTAACAACACTTACACGTTGTCACGCATTTCACTGTTTTGATGGCCGATGATTACTGACGACGACGACGATGATTATGAGAGGTGGGCTGAAATTCAAAGAACAGAAGCGGTGTCTTGTTGCCCCTTAGGCAGCAGCTAGAGCTCTGGCAGAGAATTTAATGACACCCAGTAAAACAGATCATGCAGTTTGATTAAAATAGTTCATCTTTCTTTGCAGCTTTAGATTTTTGCTTCCAGTGGAGTCGTTACAACTTGGAAAGGTATTCCGAGCTGTGGATTTTCCCAAAGTTTCAGAAGATCAACGTCGCAAGCTAAAAAGCTATCCCATACAGTGCACACGGGGAAGGGGGGGGGGGGGCGTTTAGAAACATCGTCTATCCCGGTAAACAGGAGCGGAGCGCGGCAGATTGACAATCTGGGACACGTTGTGACAGGCTCGCTGTTCAATTCCTGCGGAGGGCAAGGGTTATGCCGCCACACTACAAATACCAAGAGACGCCATCGAGGAGAAATATCATGGAAAAGGTGACTTGTGGAGCGTTGCTCCTTCAACGCCCGACTTCACAAGCCCCGATTTGTCCACGACGCTGCCGGAATGTGTGGCTTCGCAACGTTAAAACAATCACTGTCCTGCCCAGATCTAGCCCGTGGTGACTACTTATACGCTACTCTCTATGCACAAAGCCGAATGAGCACACGCACGTTCTCAGGTGAGTTTCAAATGGCACACGTGGCTGTTGCGTGCTGACCCCGCCCCTACTGGACACGTGTAAAAAAGGGCCTCATAGCTCATCCGATTCCTCCAGTCTAAATAAAGATTCTGACTGTGGATTGAGGGCCATGGGTGGACTTCTCTTCCGCTGGGATATCTTCAAAGTTAAAATAAAAATGAAGATATAAACTGCATACATATATATGCCACAAGTGCAATCATGCAAAAACAATATATCTGACCAAGACCCACTGAGCTATATAGCTCTTTTTTTCAGAAATGACCCGGCCACAAATGATAACTCAACGAAGTGGCTTATTATATGGAAATTAGACGCATGTTTGTAAATATGGAGGAAGAAAACCAGAGGACCCAGAAAAAAATACACATTACCATGGGGAGAACATGCAAACTCCAAATATACAATAGACATCAGGATCGGGATCGAACCCACAACCCTCCTGCATACCAAGCAAGGTATTTAACACGATGGCGCCCAACCACACAGCACCCTGACTGCACTCCCACACACAGTCCATCCAGCGCTGCCTGCCTGCTGCTTGCTTGGGCGATGCGATCAAACACAATGCGGAAGAGAGTTGCGCGAGGGGGGATAATGAAGGCGCCAAAAGGGATCTTCCCATCCAGGCAACTTTCCCAGTGTCCCTCCATAGCAGCAGCGTCTGGTCAAGTGTTGGCCGCTCGACTCGCAAACCAGAAGGTTGAGAACATTTGAGACGCGGTCAGGGACCGTCTCAGCCCATCAACCCTCCCGGGGCCTATAAAACGAGTACCAATGTGCACAAAGTCACCAGCGGTCAGCCGATGGCTCGTGGCCACCAATGGAGATCAGCGCTGCTGATAAGGCCACTTTGAGATGATGCTTTGTGTGTCTTACTAATCAGAATCAGAATATTTATTTACAATGGAGGAATCAGATGAGTTATAATGCTCTTTTTAACAGATAACCAGTAGCGGCAGGTTAGAACGTTACAATAACGATACATAAACGATAAGAGTGCAAAGTATGGGAAAAGTAAACAAATCACACAATAAAATATACAAATGAAACTAAAACTATTGTTTATCTTACAAAAGCCGGCTGAGCTATTTTATTTTTCAGAAGCGACCTGGCCACAAATGATAGCTCAACGAAGTCGCTTATCATGTGGAAATTTATAGCAGCAAAATAATCTAAATAATCTGAACGAAGTAGCCAACACGAGCGGCACCAAGGCCCTCACCAACCCCATCCAAACACAGCCACATCCACCTCTGCGAACCACACAGTACATTTTGATTGTGTTGTGGTATGGGTGCGGTGGCAATGTGGGGTTAGCGCAGGAGTCGACAACCAAAATAACAAGAGACATTTGTTTCTAATTCAGTAAAAAAAAAACCTCAATATTTCAAGAGCCGTGATGTTTGTGAATACGAGACGGTGGTCCTTAATAAATAACGTCACGAAGCGGTCCTTAAAGAGTCGCGTGCGGCTCCAGGGCTGCAGGTTGCTGACCCCTGGGTTAGTGGATCGTGATATGCGAGACACCTTGTGGCAAGGTAGCATC